ATGTTTTGCTGTAGTGAGCGCACTGATCCTTCGGGCACCGTAACGAGGACTACGCGAGTGGTCAAGACCAGCAAACACTCGGGTACCGGTGGCCAGCAGCCATTTATTGATGATGTGGAGACCTTCAGCCCCACCGACTACAGCACCCTTCAGTCCACGGCCAAGTACTCCAGCTTGAAGAGGGATGAGTTTCAGACCAAGGACAAGCCCTATACTCTGGGTAAGAGTTGAAAATCATGCATCTCTAGTACACCATTTAATTTTACGCCATTCCAATCACTACAGCTCACTCGCCCAGTGGTGGACACTACGAGAGCAAGTCGAAGATCTACGAGAGCAATCGCACCATTAACAACAACGTAGAGCTGCTGCCTGCAACTAGCAGCACCCATCAGACGTTGACCAGCGGCACCACCATCGACAAGGAGCTGCAGGACATCGCACTGAGCGATGGCATACTGCCTGCTCCAGGCACCAAGGTGACCACCACGGTGAGGACCTACACGTACGAGATCCCGGCCACTGGGCCCGGCAGCAACACCAGCACCATTAACCGCACTCACACGCTGAACAACTCGAATACGCTGAGCAGCAGCTACAAGCTCCACGAGAGCCACAACTCCAGTCAGAACTTCTCGCAGCTGTCGCCCGTTCCGCACCCACAGCCCACGCAAGTGCCACAGACGGTGGTTTACAACACGGAAAGCTACTCCACGCTGAACAGGAACAACGATCGTCCGGTGGTTAGCAACCAGTCATACGAGATCAGGGAGCACAAGGAGACCACCACTCGCGGCGTGAGCCCACAGCCCCGTCAACTGCCCTTGGGATCGGGTCCGGCAGGAACTCCACCGGGCAATCGTACGGTCATCTACAACATCCACAAGACGGATCACGTCAACACAGTCAATGAGCTGCCACCACAGCAGCGTTATCCGCCGCGCAGTCCGGCTCACAGTCCTAACTACGGCGGACCACACAGTCCACCAATGCAGCCGGGAGTGAATCGCTACTACTACAAGGAGACGGAGACCTCAAACACGGTGAACAGCATCCACGGACCGCCGAACGGTGGACCCTACGAGCCGGGTCTACCTCAGTCCGCTCCCCTGAAGCAGCTGCCGCCCAACAACGCGTATCCACAGCAGCCACAAAATGGAAATGGTTATCCACCAAATTCGACCACTTACAGCTACAAATACTCCTCGACCACCAACACAAACAACCGACGTGGTCCGGACTACGGCTCCCCATCTCCATTCCCCGTGGATGGCGTCGAGTATCCAGTGAATAGCAATCCTCCTCAGCGAGTGGACGATCTGATGCAGTCATTCGGAACTGTAAGTATTCGAAGAATTCTTAAAGACTCGAATTTCTAAATTAAAATTAAACGTAAGTTCAGTTTTTTTGTTCAAACTGTTATCAGTAATAGACTCTTGTTTACAAGTCAGTAATTAAATGAATAAAAACTTGAAGAACTTATGCCACCGTTATCAAGCTGCCTAAAAACGATAGTTAGAGATTACTTTTGTATTAACTCGAAATACCCTAATTAGCACCCTAACATGTTGCAATTGGAAAATGATAAGACTAGTATCACTTTAATGATACCATAAGTGTGATTCAGTGTCAGCGATTTTTATGATTTCTGTTGATTTTACCTCTTTATCATCTCCGTGCTTAGACCACTGACCATGTGGATCGCGTGGGCATTGAGACTCCAGTGCGCAAGCGTGAAATCGAGACGGCAGTTGCCTCGCCCAACCAGCAGCATGTGCCATCCGTGAACAAGGCGGGCAAAGAGGTTTACTATCCACCTGGTCACGACACCATCGTCATGAAGCGCGAGGAGATGCATGCCGGGTCTGCTTCAGGCGTGAGTATTTGATACTTACCCAGCTTACCCCAGAAATATGCCCAACTACCCAAATCTTACATTCGCAGGGTCGCTGGGCCAAGGGATCCGGAATGTACGAGTACGAGTCCGGCTCCAAGTCAAAGACGAAAACCAAGTCCGGCGCCGCCGTGGTGCCCGTGTGCCTGCCCCTCTGCTGTGCCATGCCCTGCTCCATTATGTAGAGGGCGGACATTGCCGGGACATCGTAACTTGTACATAGGTTTCTAATATTTGCCGTTTATAGTTCTAACGCTAAATCCTGCCCCTTGTTTTTGATTGCTCTCTACTAGGTCGTCTAACTTCTATCGGGCTTGCTTGTCAATTGGTTGTACGCGTAATTTGTTTGCCAAATTGTATGTCTATATATCTATACGTTATTGTCTATGTATATAATTTGTGAAGCGTCATCTACGGATGGGCCAGTTGTTATACTATTTTTTTGGATTTGGTAGTTCATCAGCACCCAGTTTGCTCAAAATTGTTGCTCAAGCATTTAAATTCACCAGTGGGATGCCAAAAAAGTTTACTTGATGCCAATTGCCTTAAATTAAATTTGCATACCGCATACCAAACACTAATAAATGAGCCGTGGAATTCAATTCCTCCTATTATTCGTTTCGCCAGCGCCCCCGAATACCCACTAATCATAAACCATAATCGTAACAGCGACTTAAAAGGTAACTCAGTCGTTACAGAGCCATAAATACTATTTCTAATACACGTAGTAACCATAATAAAAAACGAGATCTAACAAACGAAGCGATGAACTTTCTGAGTGCCTCTTTGAATGGATCGATTAGCGTGGGGGTTTGGTATAGTAAAAGTTTTTTAAGTTTATTTTGGTATAAATCGTTCTGATCGAATAACAATTTGCATATCACAAAAGTAATATCTACATTTCACCTTGTAGGAATAGGTGTAGCTGTCTTTTGAGAAGTTAGTAAAACACTATAGTCAAACAACAAAAAACTAAAAACATAAAACAATAAAAAAAATCAACGGAGGTATATAATATAGATAAGTATCATTGAGCACTTTGAGTAGTGAACGGGAGGATTATTGCTACAAAGACGAGTTCTTATTGTTGTTCTTGGATTACGAATTGAAGCTAAATGATGGATTAAAAGTATACTACATCGTAATATGAGTATAGTTACTGGACATACTACCATATACTCAATATGTGTCTAATATTCTAACCATGCCGCCATGATCTGTATTTCTATTAAAAGAGACTACCTTTTGTGAAAGTAATGTTGTCCTTTGTACATACGCATATTTAAGAGTTGGAAAGGTCACGTATTATTACGCTGTCTCTTATGCAGGCTAACTCTTGCGCTCGGAGTTCTTTAGCTCAGCTAAATACCAAGTGAAGGTTGGAAATTGCTTGATGCTGTAGATAGCATACTGTATCGAGTTGATTCCATCCTGTTCTATTTTGCTCATGCCGTTCTGTAAGTTTTCATAGCTGTCGAAATAAATACAAATGACATTTGTATGTCTAAATTATGGTATACAGTATGAAGTACTGACCGCTTAGGATTGGCCTTTTCCTTCTGATGCTTCAGCATCTTGTAGCGGGCTATGTTGACCGGATACCTTGATATGAATAGGTTGGCGTGCTTCAACCTGTTGGACATGTCGTCATCCTCGCCGCCCCAGCCAAAGAACGAGTTAGAGAACCCATTAACGGCCTGAAAGTGCTCTCGTGTCATTGCGGAAACACCTCCAAATATTGATCGATAAGGCAACCTATAAACGAAAGAAAAAATTTACCATTGATTATGCTGTTATCTGTTGGCTGTACTTGCCTGAAGTTCAGCGTGTCTATAGCCACTGACATATGCCGCGGCTGACGTGGACAGTTGTAAAGATTGCGGTCATCCAAAGGCAGAAGATCGACATCGTGGAATATAAAACAATCCCACTGGTACAGCTTTAAGGCCTCCATATAACCAATGTTCATCATGGCAGCCCTATTGAAGGGCTTTCCGTTGGTCTGCTCGACAATGAAAATGCGATAGGCGATGCGCTGCTTCATCAGAAATGGGTGGATGTTGCGCAGGAAAACTGAAAGATGGGCGTATCGATCGCGGAAGGGCACCACAATAGCCACGTGGTGCTGGGCATTGCAGTTTTCGGGCTCGAAGGCGCCACCAGGGCGCAGGAGAGGTCCGAGCTCTGCTTCAATAATGTCCAGTGACTCCAATGTCGTGTTGGGCGTGATGGGCCCACCTGAAGAGGATAGACGTATTTAAAAATCGTACTGAAGAAAAGGACCAAGCAGAGACGGATATTACCATTACGGGGATCGGGATCAGTGCAGTTTGCAAGGAGGGCGGATCTGGATTTCTTTCCCGGGGGCAATAATTTGCTTGTGTCCAGCAGGAAGCGCGTTAAGTCTTGTGGAATGGAAGTAAAGTTTGCCGTGGCAATCACAGTTCTTATGGTAGAGTTGGGTCCGCCATGGAGCTCCTGGTCCCGCTCTCTGTCTTTGGATAAGGCGAGCGGGGCGGCGGGCAGCCTGGATACTTCTCCGCCTCCGGCTCCATCACTGCTAGCGTTCCCGTAGATATGAGCATACTTATGCACGCGCCGAATGCTAACATTCGTTAACAAAAAGTATTGATAAGATAACCTCTATACAGCCAATATGATGGGATTAGTTACCTGAGCTTGCTAAGGGACGTGCCGCTGCCTCCGTCATTGCGGAAGCCCACAAAGTTAAGCACCAGCAACAAGCATATCGCGCCGGCTAGGAAGCGTATGAGATTCGCCTTTGTGAAGAGGGACATGGTCCGCGGATTGCATCATACCTTGCTCGATGCTCTGGCTCTGCGAACTGGCATTTTCAAGCGCAAAACGTTCGCCAACCGAACAAAAAACGTTAAAACTTGCAACTCCAGGGCCAATCAGAAAAGTCAGCTGAGAGTCCCCCTCAACCAGGGTTGCCAGAGTTGCGAACTAGCTGCAGCCATAAATCGCTGCCTGCCGATAGTTGAAGGCGGCAAATTTAAAAAAAAGACATCACTAGCATTTTCAGTCTGTTATTGCTAAAAATATTTAATGCATTTCAAAATTTAAAGAAAAGCTGAATGTTTTATCTAAAAAGCAATACGTATAAGTAATTAAAGCTAAATTCCGAACTTTCTATTGGTTTTGTGATTTATTGCGCTGTTCGGATCTCTTAAGTATCCCAAAAATAGCGAGTTACAGAATGGTGTGGTAAACTGGGGAATTATGCGATTATACTATCAAGAATAAAAACAAGTTATAAACACAACTGAAGATTTATGCTAATTTCAGTGCAGAGCAGTAAGGCCCCACAATCATGGCAGCGGCAATCGCAGCGCCTCGTTGTCCTTGACGTTAATCACTTTGAACTCGCTTTGATAGGTGTACTCTATCCGCAGAATCTTGTCATCGCCGATGCTCGGATCATAAAAGCCGGGCAGGTCACTCTGAAATATGTAAGTATTATTATTATTGTGCGCCAATTACAATCAGTGAACTTGTCTCACCTTTGATGAGTCATGCAGCTGCAGGGTCCCGTCCTTGACCATGCATTGAATGGGTACGGTGACGTCCAGAGACTGCTCTGGCAAGAACTGACTGCCGCCCTCCGCGGTACAGCCGTAGATGGCTCGTGTGACAATCAGCCCCTTCCTCGCCATCTCCTCGGTCATGATCCTTTTGTAGGTAGCCTGCATTAGGTGAACGGCGGCACTCGCCTCCTGCCTCCTAGTGGACAGCCTCTGCTCATTCTGACGCTTCGTCCGCTCCACCTCGATGGTCTTCCGCTCCGCCACCATGGGGTCCATCACAGTCTTTTTGATGAAGAACCACGCAATCACTGGAGTCACCGAGGCGTAGAAAACTGCAGCTGGTACTATCTCATCGCTTAGATGGATGGGGAACACATACGATTGATTTGAACGAAGTATTCTGTGGAGGAGGATGTGGATAAATTTCGGAGTTTTCCGGATTTACAAGTTCACTCACTTGAATTTAAGTATGACTCCAGAAGGCACGCCAATCGATACCGTGGCCGTCACAGAACTGTACTTGGAAACTTTTTTCTCCACTCCATACTCTCCCATAAAGCCAAAGGTTCCAACTCTGCAACGAAGGAAATGATTCAATCGGATTATAAAAAATGCAATCTTCCTACTTTGCCGCCAGCTTAAGCTTGAGCTCATTCTCCATCATCTTGCGGGTGTAGGAAAGTCCGAAGTAAATATGCGGCGTTCCAATCACCACTGACGAACTCAGCGAGTAAGTCTCTTTGGAGTGATCGATCTGAGTGGACATAGAGGACTGCGAACCGGCGTTTAGCGTTAGGCTCCCCATCGTGTGATTGTCCAGCTGCACGGCCAGCGTGGAGAACAGGGCGGGTATGACGCCTTGCTCACGAAAGTTCAGGTTAGTGCCTCCATTTAGAGTCAGCTTTTGACTAAGGGTGCGACCACCTAAAAAATATATCTTTATACACATCATAGATCAGATTTAAAGGCAAACATTTACCCTTAAGACCCAGAAGAAATCCGTTGCCCGCTCCGGCACACAGCTCTAACCAGCCCTTGTTGAGCAGCCGGCGTCCGGCGATCACAAAGCCACCGCTACCATTGCCATTGGAAGAGTACAGGTTGCCGCTCATGATGATCATATCTTTGCGCGTGATCGGAGCCTCAATGGACTGGGCAATGCTCATGGAGCCGATCTCTACGCGCGGCATTTCGGAGTCGTCGTACGGTGCGAAGATCTCCGTGGCATTCACGTTGATGGTGATGTTACCACGAGGATTGGTTCGCTGCTGAAGACGTCTTTCAGCGGCCGCCTCCGCCAGACGCTCGTACTCCTCCCGAATCTCATCCGGAGTCTTTGTCCGGTGCAGAATCTTCCAGCCCCCAGTGTGCAGTCCCTTCTCGCCCACCGAATCGTAGATTGCCCGCTGTTGTGGATCCGAGAGCACCTCGTAAGCACGCTTCGTGCGGTTGAACATAATCTCGGCCTTTTTCTTGCTATCCGGATCCAGGTGCTTGTCCGGGTGGAACATGCGGCTCTGTTTCCTGTACGCCGTGTTGATCTGCTCCGCTGTGGCCTGGGAATCAAGACAAGAGGATTAGATCGATGGTATAGTGTACCGGCCGGTGACGCTGCACGTACATCGCGGGGCAAATTCAGAAACGTATAGTAGTTCTCGTCGAGCTCTGCGTCGGACTCCTCGTGATCAGAAGCCATGTCGGTGAACTAGTCCCGCGGTTCCTGCTCGGCTTCAAAAAGGGGCGGGGACGAGACAGCGCACGGACCTCACCGGCGTTCTATGTTAGTTTTGGATTTCGAAATTTTTCGGTACTTTTACGCAATGACTATACATGTGTTGACTGTTCCGATAGTTGACGATGGTTTGCTCCAATAGGAGTTTGTTGTGGGATGCGGTCATACTGCGGAGATACGGTCTCACTATAAACGGCGAACTGCTGATGGGGTCACTAACCATTGTCAGCTAGAGGTGGGACGATGTTAAAAAAATAAAAACTAAACTTAAATTCACAGAGAACTCTTTTCGAAATTAATCAATGGTTAAACTTATTATTGGTCTTAATTTTTTTTATTTAGAAGCCATTTGTTTCGGTAACAACATTAATTGAAGCAATGAAAATAAATATCTAATTAAAATGACGAAGGTAAACCATATTTTATCCAAACTAAACATTTTATAGTGGGCTTAACTTTTGTAAAGAGAGATCATTTGGCACTTTCAACTTTACATCTAGTTTGCTTTCATTTACTATGTTTTCAAACCACTTTGTGCTGAAGGGCAAGTGAAATATTTGAAGTTTTGTACACCACAAATATTTGAAGAAACACTTTCACACCGTTGACAACTCTGGCACACGAGCTGCGACAAACTATCGCAGTGCCCATCGCACAGAGACGAACCCGAGTCCATCACTTACCTTACAGTCCTCTCACGGGAAGAAACGTGCTCCGCCGTTCTGACGAAATTTTTGCTTTAAATTTGACAATTGCTCGTGTGAAATTGCAGAAGTAAAAAGGCAAAATGCTGCGCGTACCCAAGTTTCTGCCCCGTCTCGCCCGCCAAGCCGGCGTGGTGCCATCGAATATTTCCGGAGCTTCTAGCATGTTCCGCGTAAGTACATTTCCCCCGCCTTGACCCACCGACTATTATATAAAGTCCGGCATGCCGATGATGCGGTCTCATGTTTTGCGGGAAGATTCTACAGCGGAGCACCCTTTTATCTTTCCAGAATCTGCCCGGTGCTAGCCATGGATTATCATCCCAGCTGCGTTACAAGTAAGTGATATCGATTCATTATTTCGCAAATTTCTCTTGTTACCGGAACCCAATTATGTAAGCACTAGACAAACATAAGATAGATTTCCAAAAGCTACCTCATGTTGCATCATAATGTACGATATTTAAAAGAAAGTACCTTGATAATTGCAAAGATCTATAGCCAGAAACGTGGTGCTTATCTGGACTTGTTGCCGGCGGCCTTATCAGTCCACTCTATCCATATGTAAAACAAACCTACCAACTTGTTTTCCAGGTCCGGCGAAGTCAAAGGTGCTGTTATTGGAATCGATTTGGGAACAACCAACTCCTGCCTGGCCGTCATGGAGGGCAAGCAGGCCAAGGTGATTGAAAATGCCGAGGGAGCCCGCACCACACCCTCCCACGTCGCCTTCACCAAGGATGGTGAGCGTCTGGTAGGCATGCCCGCCAAGCGCCAGGCAGTAACCAACTCGGCCAACACCTTCTATGCCACCAAGCGACTGATTGGCAGACGTTTCGATGATCCCGAGGTCAAGAAAGACATCACTAACCTGTCCTACAAGGTGGTCAAGGCTTCAAATGGCGATGCCTGGGTTTCTTCCACCGACGGCAAGGTGTACTCTCCCTCCCAAATCGGCGCCTTCATCCTGATGAAAATGAGGGAGACCGCTGAGGCATACCTGAACACTCCCGTGAAGAACGCCGTGGTCACCGTGCCCGCCTATTTCAACGACTCCCAACGCCAGGCCACCAAAGATGCTGGCCAGATTGCCGGTCTTAATGTACTGCGCGTGATTAACGAGCCCACTGCTGCCGCTCTGGCCTATGGAATGGACAAAACAGAGGACAAAATGTAAGTGTTTAGATATCTTTATGGGGTTCAATATACCCGTTACTCGTAGAATAAAAGTATGTGTCAGACAGAAGTATATATAGTATATATATTCTTGATAAGGATCAATAGCCGAGTCGAACTGGCCTTGTCCGTCCGTCTGTCTGTCCGTCCGTAACTCCATAACTCAACTTATCTTAATCGGATTTTGAAGTGGGATACCTCTAAATGTTTCTGGCGCAATTCTCTAAAAATCTGCATTCAAATTTAGAAATTTATTAAAAAAACATTTTTTTTTTAATTTTTCTGATGTAGAAATTCAAAAAAATTTAAAAATGTCCCAGGGCTGATGTTCTAAACTCCATAACTAAACTTATCTTAATCGGATTTTGAAGTGGTTTCGGAAAAAATACCAATTTTAAAACTTAATATTTTAACCTATGTATGTATATATAAAATTTCTTACCTTTCAGCATTGCCGTTTACGATTTGGGTGGCGGCACCTTCGATATTTCGATTTTGGAAATCCAGAAGGGAGTGTTTGAGGTCAAGTCGACCAATGGTGATACACTCCTGGGTGGTGAGGACTTTGACAACCATATTGTGAACTTCCTGGTGGCCGAATTCAAGAAGGATAGTGGAATTGATATCCGCAAAGACAACATTGCCATGCAGCGCCTGAAGGAGGCAGCCGAGAAGGCTAAGTGCGAGCTTTCCTCCTCCCAACAGACCGACATCAATCTGCCTTATCTGACCATGGACGCCGCTGGTCCTCAGCACATGAACCTGAAGCTGACACGCTCCAAGCTGGAGAGCCTGGTGGGTGATTTGATCAAGCGTACTATCCAGCCCTGCCAGAAGGCTCTGTCCGATGCTGAGGTCTCGAAGTCCGAGATCGGCGAGGTGCTACTGGTTGGCGGTATGACCCGTATGCCCAAGGTGCAGTCCACCGTGCAGGAACTGTTCGGACGCCAACCGTCGCGCTCTGTGAACCCCGATGAGGCTGTGGCTGTTGGAGCCGCTGTTCAGGGTGGTGTGTTGGCCGGAGATGTCACCGATGTGCTTCTGCTCGACGTTACTCCCCTATCGCTGGGTATTGAGACCCTGGGTGGAGTGTTCACCCGCCTGATCTCCCGCAACACCACTATTCCCACCAAGAAGTCGCAAGTCTTCTCGACGGCCAGCGATGGTCAGACCCAGGTGGAGATTAAGGTGCACCAGGGCGAACGCGAAATGGCTAACGACAACAAGCTTCTCGGCTCCTTTACACTGGTCGGAATTCCCCCTGCACCTCGAGGCGTGCCCCAGATCGAGGTTGTTTTCGATATTGATGCCAACGGTATTGTGCACGTGTCTGCAAAGGACAAGGGCACTGGCAAGGAACAGCAAATCGTTATCCAGTCTAGCGGTGGTCTGAGCAAGGACGAAATCGAGAACATGATCAAAAAGGCCGAGGAATACGCAACGGCCGACAAGCAAAAGCGTGAACTTATTGAGATCGTCAACCAGGGCGAGAGCATAGTCCACGACACTGAGACCAAAATGGAGGAGTTCAAGAGCCAGCTGCCCGCTGAGGAGGTAAGCACTTCAAGAAGACTCTTATCTTAAGAAAGTACTCATATTCATTAATTACTTACAGTGCGAGAAGCTAAAGAAGGAAATTGCCGATCTGCGCACTTTGCTGGCCAACAAGGAGACTGCCGACCTTGAGGAGGTCAGGAAAGCTACTTCCTCCCTGCAGCAGTCCTCTCTGAAGCTGTTCGAGCTGGCCTACAAGAAGGTGTGTATTGGATATACTCCTTGTATATGACATATTATAATGTATTCATTCCATTTCAGATGTCCGCTGAGCGCGAGAGTAACGCAGGAGCCGGCTCCTCCGATAGCAGCAGTTCGAGCAACACTTCCGGCGAAGCCAAGAAGGAAGAGAAGAACTAAATTAGGCAACCATAGTCATAGTTGTTGTTCCCCTATTTAATAATAACCGCTTCTGGATTTCGATTAAGTTCTACGTTAAACACAAAACACTTCGTATTCCCTTATTAAATCATGAATCACTCAAAGCCACAAGCATTTACCCAAAATGTGAAGTAAACTATCAGATGCGATTAGGTCGAATCAGACGATGAGACTTCCAAGTAAACAGACGAAGACCAAGCCGCCAGGGATTATCAATGATGGACTGCATAAAGTTTTTATTGTTTATTATGCAATCAATCTAGTTTTCCCTTATTTAAAACGCGTGGTCACCGTTGTGTTGTGTTCCTGTAAGATTTTGATTATTTTTACGTATCTTCTAAACTAGTTGTAGTTGTACAATAACGAGCACAGCACAAAAACTAAATTCGCAAGGCGGCCACGGCGTTGTAGACGCGGACAACTAAGCAGATGCTTATTTGGTGGTTTAAATTTAAGATAAATTGTATGTTGGTTTCCAGTGGATAACCAAATTGACTGGGTAATATGCAAGTAAATTTAAACAAATCGATGTAAACTTAAAATAAAACAAAAACATACATTTACATACAAAAATATCTTTATTTCTTAGACTATTGACTTGAAATTCTGGTTAAAATTCATTTTTAAATTCCTCGAGTTATTAAACAATTAGCGGCGATAAATAATCTTAGTTTAACTAAACTATGGTGTTTTGTACAAATACTAGATGATGTTGTTCGCAATTCACTGAGCTAGGTGATTGATTGGCTGCGCCTACTACGATCTATCTACATGGCTCAGCTCTGAAGTTTGTAGAGCGTGTAATAGAGACCCCGATTCGCAAGCAGTTGTTTGTGGTTTCCAGCTTCACACACCAATCCGTTCTCGAAGACAAAGATCATGTCCGAGTGGACAACGGTGGAGAGTCGGTGGGCTATACTGATCGTGGTACGTCCCTCAGAGGCGACATCGAGTGCATCTTGGACAACCTGAAGAAGAATAAAGAAATTAATATGGATATCCATAATTAATATGGATATATAAAAGGATCTGTATACCAACCTTTTCACTTTCAGCATCCAAGGCAGAAGTGGCCTCGTCAAGCAACATGATCCTGGGATTCCGGATGAGGGCTCGTGCAATAGCAATGCGCTGCTTCTGACCTCCGGACAACTGAGCACCCTTCTCGCCCATTCTCGTATCGTAACCCTAAGGGTTTAAGTACTATATTACTATATATTCAAGAGAAAATTCCATATAAGAGTTCTTACCAACGGCAGGTTAGTGATGAATTCGTGGATATTGGACTTTTTGCATGCTGATATGATCTCCTGATCAGTCACATCCCTTGCATTGTCACCGTAGGAAATATTTTCTCTGATTGTGC